TGCTGATGCGCCTGCCCAGTGGGAGGCGTGGATGGGAAAGGAAAAAGGAGGGGGAGTTGAGAGGTGAGTCAGGCGGTTATAAAATAACGGGGGGGGTGGGTTACACCCACTTTAACAGAAATTAACGTTTTTCCTGGTAGACGTTGGGTAACGCTAGAAATATGAACTGAAATGGCACCAGATTGCCAATTTGTGCTTCTTTACGACAGTGCTGTATGGACGACTCTCGGATTTAAAGTTGATGGCTTGTACAGGAGTCCTGCAGTTTTAAAGAATACATTTCAAATACTTGTTTTACACCTTACATAGCAAGTTAGGTCCACGAAAGATTCTTAGAGCCTGCGCTATGTGAAAACCAAACAAACCGGCAGATTTCAGTTTATTTCTAAATGATGGCCATGTTCTGTGGCCTACCTATCGAGACGTGCTATCGAACCTTTTTGCGCATGTGCAGTTCCACCGTTTTGGGATTAGGGTTAGGTTTTAGGGGTTAGGGTTAAGGTAAGGGTTTTAGGGTTTTTGGGGGGTTAGGGTAAGAGTTAGGGCTATCGATTAGCACTACGGTAGCATTTTTCGACAAGGCAGCATATATCGACAGAACAGCCATTTCAACCGAGATATTAAATAATGTTTAATTCGATTTAAGACAATAGCTCAGTATGGTCTTCAAGGGTTTTATCCGTCACATGCAAGGTACAGTCAGACCGTAACATGAAGTGTTCAATTCTGCCATAAAAACAGTTAAAGCAAAAAAGACATTAAAAGTAATAATATAATAGTCAAAAATGAGTACAATTATATTGTTAAAATAAATAGACCAAAGATGTGCAACACAGACCAAATAAAGTGTGAGGTGCATATGTAACGATACAGGGGTGTGTAACAGAAAGTACTCAAAATACAATATTCAAACAGAACGAAATAAACACAAAACTTCCCTATTAACTTACAACCAAATGACAATAATTGACAGCCAAAACACCATGTTAAACAGTAATACCTCTCGAACATAATTCATAACCTACCTAAAGTAAACGGAGCAGTCAGTGACGTACAGCCTCTCCTCAGTTTACACTAATCGCGGGGAAAGGAAGAAGTTTATTACAAATTTTACCAAAGTTCCTTTCCATATACTAATAAATTATAACGTGTTGGGGGGGGTGGGTGGTATAATCAATATAACCTAAGGAGATTTTATTCTAATAATTTAAACAACAGGATTTACAAATGATCAATTTTTTGGGTTAATGTTGGCGCTGAGCTGAACTGCATGTCTTACCAGCGCCAGATCCAAGCGGATTCTGATGGGTGTTGCTGATTGCAGCCACACCTACAGTGCTCAAACAGGAACCTTTGTGGCGGAACCAAAAAGTACAAACCAAACCAACGAAATACATATGTAAGTATAAACAGTCACAAATAATACACGTCATAAATAACAAGTACATTTAAAATAAGAAAAAAACAAAGGACTGGAGGAGTTAATAAGATCAACAACTATACCTTAACATGGCTACATATATACAGATAAGGAGGAAATATCACCTAGAAATATATTAAGTGTTAAGCAGTCTGACGGCCTGGGGGTAGAAGCTCTTCCTGAGCCTCACAGTTCTCACTGGGAGGCAGCAGAAGCGCTTACCAGGTCTCTTACCAGCCTGCTAAAGAGGTCGTTGTTTGGGTGGTTTGTGACCCTGCAGATTCTCAGATCAGACTTACAGATGCATTCGGTCGAACTTACCAACCTCTGCAGAGCTTTGCGCTGCAGGGCGGAGGTGGCTTAATGGTTGAATTGAAAATGTGTTATACATAGGGAAAAAAACGAATTTTCCTAATATGTTTAAAGAATTGCAGGTTCAAATCCCCGATCAGCAGGGCACCACTGAGGTACCCTGAGCAAGGTACTGTCCCCGAGCACTGCTCCCCGGGGCGCTGAATTAGTTGTCCCCTGCTATGTCTCATATGGGTTAAATGTAGAGAACACTGTGCTGTGGTGTGTCAACAATAACGCTAAATTCTAAATTCATTTACCAAAGCAGGCTGTGATTCCCGTAATGAGGATGCTCCCTAAGGGCAGAAGGCTCCAAGATAGTACAGCCAATTCCTGGCTTTAGCTATCCGAGTCTGTACGTGATTCGACCGGGTGAGGTAATCAGAGATATCAGATACACTCTGAGATATCTAGATGTGTTTCTTATTGCCGCATTATTGCCCCCTGCCCCTAGTTTCCACTATTCTTTCTGCAGTTTGTATTCTAGCTTAAAGAAACATGTAACTCTGTGTAGACACACGAATAATTTGCTTTGTACACTTCCATAGCCTTCAACAGAAACAGTAAAAATGTGTGCCAGTTTAATGTAAAACCCTCAACACATCCCAAAATGTCAAGTACACTCATAGCACATATGGCACATATAATCTCAACCATATTTGGCCAATAAAGAGATTTGATAGCACATGAATAGTTAAAGTTGTTTTTACTGGGGTGTACTTGTCACCGGCCAACCAAAAACCAGGTTGTTAAAGTAAATTTAGGAACGAGTTGTACTTAGCATGTGAAAGTGAATGTGTTTGTCGACACATTAAAAAGAAATAATTAGAAAAAAACCCCGGTTTGATCCACTAGGGGGCTGTATTTCTGAAGAAAAGCAACGGGAACATAACGCGTCTTCCTCAGACTGCTTCTGCTGGAGAAACATCACATATTTCCAGAAGAGTATTTTTAATATTATTCTGTTTGTGTGTGAGAACGGATATTTAATGAGTAAAGACTTGATGTTGCGTAATCATTAAGCTAATGCCAATACTGCTAATACGCTTTCAGAGCTGCAGCAAATGTTAAAACCAGTGGTTCTCAGTGCTGTTCCTGGAGGACCTCCTGACAGAATATTTTCATTGCAACCCACACTGCTTTCAGCCTGCCACATTCAAACTTCATCAAAGCCTTTGAGCGGGTGGGTAAACAAGCTATTCTGCATCTTTAAGGTGGAGCAAGGACTTTGACAAGGTGATTTTTTTTAACAATACGACTTTAATGTGAGCAGAAGTGCGAAGAGAGGCATCAACAAGATGAAAGATCACTTGAAACCAAGGGATAGCATTCTCATCAACAGTTAAGTATGCAAGTACTAAAACTGGTGATCTGGTTAGTAGTGCTGTAGTTCTCGAGACCGGTCTTGGTCTCGAGACCGGTCTTGAGACCAAT